GAAAAAACACTTCATTTGGGTAAACATTTATATTAATGCAGTAGGTATTCCATTTTAGATTCTCTGTTCTTGAAATAAAAAGTGAGGTGACTTCACCACGATACATGCACATAATGTAGATAATGTTACTGATACATGTACATGACATATAGACTGTTATATATTACACAAGAACTTACTTGATGAACAAGACTTTATATGAACCAGATAGCTGTGCAACACTATACAACAATTAACTTGTAGTTTATATCTGTTTAGTAAAATTATCATATCTACACTATATTGTTTCATTTATACTTATTCAGGTTTTTGTTATTTTAAGATGGCATGTGAGAAGTCAATGACTTGTCTATGTTTGACAGTATATACCAAATTCTCATAGAATTTATGTCTTCAGAAGTATACCTGAAAAAGCTTAAAACTGTAGTGGCAGATGCTACAATATTTTTTTCTTAATTGTGAAACAAGTTTTTGCAGGTTTATGAATCATTTCCTGCTTACAAAAACTGAAGGCATATGTGGGGACATGGTTGTTGTTACTCTGTTTGGATCAAACCCTCAAACTCGGTTTGCAAGACTACATTCAAGGACATAAGTGATCTGTCATTTGTGACTTTTCATATGTTTCCAAGAATCTGTTATTATAATTCTTTTAAAATATTGAAATTTTTTCAATTAAAAAATATACTAAATGTTATTCATATTATACAATTTAAAATACACTGATCAGAATATGACTACATTGTTAATATCTAGTGCAAGATCTTTCTATTTTTTTAGTTAAATTTTTGAAAGACCTTTGAAATTATTGTGAATATAATTATTTTATATGGAATATTTTTTTTATAAAATGCCATTATTTTAAATCAAAGTTTTTTTGTTTTTTTTTTGCATAATTTTGTTACCATGGCAACAAAAAATACACCTTTTATTAAAGAATATTTGTTTTGCATTGGATTTATAATTTATATGCTATTATGTAACAGCTATGTGCTTTGAAGTGGACTAACTCAAGTTATGATATTCGCCTTAATCATGGAAAACTTACTGAAATTCTGAGAATTTAATCCTTACGTTTATATCTATTATCAATAACACTTTATGGGGAAAATGAAAAATCTTTTTTTTTTCTTTTTCTAAAGTCTTAAATATTGTTGTTTTTTAATATAATATGTATATCATTAATTTGGTGATGAATTAATCATGTTAAGTGCAAAATATTTCATTTGATGATTTTTTATATTGTTGTTGCCATGGCAACCGATTATTAAAAACAAATGATAGTTTTTATATCAAGATATTACACCAATATGAATGATTACTTTATATTTTGTTTATTTTATTGTGTATTTTGTATATTGTATAACTATGGAATTATTTCTAGTTTATATACCAATAAAATTTAAAAATGTAATGATTTTGTTGTTATAGTGATGTCATGAATTAGAATATTTCATGAAATATAAAGTATTTTTTAAAAAAAATAATTGTTGCCAGTTATTCAGCAGATGTTGTTCTACCACAAACTAGTGATAACTCATTTTCGCCCAGATATCACATTTGGGCCAAAAAATCGCTGAGCTTGTCACATATAGGGAAAAACAATGACCCCCCATCTGGGCAGGGCAATTTTGTCCACAGGGCTTTTATTTGAACATACTTGGTAGTCACTCACTAGAAGATAGTTAATGCTTTATATCTAAACTCTAGCTCTTAGAGTTTTATATACACATCGGTTTATACTATACACATATAAGGAAAATCAATGATCCATGGGACAGTTTTGACCCCAGGGCCCTTATTTGAAAAAAAACTTGGTAGACACCAACTAGAAGATGTTTCATGCTAAATATCTTAGCTCTAGCTCTTAGGTTTTTTTTAAGAAGATTTTTTAAGTTTTTACCATATACATAAAGAGAAAAACAATGACCCCATGGGGTGGTGCCAATTTTGACCCTAGGGCTTATATTTGAACAAATTTGGTAGACACTCACTAGATAATATCTAAGCTCTAGCTATTTGGGCTCTTTAAAAGAAGATTTTTTAAGTTTTTACTATATACATATAAGGAAAATCAATGATCCATGGGGCGGGGCCAATTTTGAACCCAGGGCCCTTTTTTGAACAAAAATGGTAGACACTCATTAGAAGGTGTTTCATGCTAAATATCTTAGCTTTAGCTCTTTGGGGTTTTTTTTAAAGAAGATATTTTTTACTATACACATATAAGGAAAATCAATGATCCATGGGGCGGGGCCAATTTTGACCCCAGGGCATTCACTTGAACAAACTAGGTAGACACTGACTAGATGATGTTTCATGCCAAATATTTAAGCTCTAGCTCTTTCAGTTTTCTAAAAGAAAATATTTTAAGTTTTTTTCTATCGGTTGCAATGGCAACCAGAGTTCTGCTTAGAATAAAATTCTTTGAACAATTTTTAAAGTTGACTACCAAAGGAACATTCCTGTGAAGTTTGGATGGAATTGGCTTAGTGGTTTATGAGGGGATGTCGTTTAAAGTAAAAGTTTACATACGGACAAACATTAAGTCAGCATGATCTGGTGAACATTAAGTCAGCAAGCTCGACTTTCCTAGATAATTTTCTGATAGGGGAAGAATTTATTACTGCCTAGATAATTTTCTGATAGGGGAAGAATTCATTAACAATAATCCATCTCAAAGTTGTTATTTTCTTATTTCATAAAAAGCAACAATTCACTCCAAATCTTTACTTGACTTATGTGTCTTTGATGGAGGCCTTCAATAACGAATCCAACTATGTAATTACAATTATCAAATAGACATTTCGATAATTATTGGATGGGTGATGTCTTTTATTCCATCTGACAGATAGACAAAAAAAGAAGAAAATTCTATCTGATCTTAAAAGCTCATCCTGAACCAGCTTAGATGAGTTAAAAATTTAAGCTAAAAATCAAATGCAGACCTGTCATATACAGGTCAAAGCATTATTTTACTGCAGTTTGGAAGGATAAACTATTCATAATACAATTATGAACAAGAGGGCCCTGGACAGCTCACCTGACAAATAGGTCAAAAGGTCAAACTGAAGTCCCGTATCACCCGAGAGGTATTATTTTAAAAACAAGGAACAGTTTAATCTGACCAATTTTGTGAACTGTCACCAAGGAAATTTTTGTGTAAATTTATTTCAGAATTGAACCAGAGGTTTAGATGTTGCCGTTTTCTAACTTTAGCTGTGGCCGCCATGTAATTAAATAGTTCAGCCTGTCACTAAGAGATGGGTGAGCTAATAAAAAAGATGACTGAAAAAGAGAAGGAAAACAAACATTGACCTGGCTGGGGATTGAACTGTTGACCTTGATCCCCTGGGCCGGGTTAATTTTGAACCTAGGGGTTTTATTTCAACAAACATGGTAGAGTGTTCAAGTGAATGTCTACCAAGTTTGTTCAAATGAAAGCCCTTGGGTCAAAATTGGCCCAGCTTGAGGGGTCATTGATTTTCCTCATATATATGTAGTAAAAGTTTTAAAAACTTTGTGAAAATCCAAAAGCACTATAGATGATATATTTGGCATCTTCTAGTGGATGTCTACCAAGTTTGTTCAAATATATGCCCTAGGGTCAAAACTGGTCCCACCCCAGCGGGTCATTGATTTTCCCTATATAGCATGTATATAGTAAAAACTTAAAAAAATCTTCTTGTGAAAATCCAAGAGGCTTAGATATTTGACATGAAACATGTTCTAGTGTTTTTCTACCATGTTTGTTGAAATAAAAGCCCTAGGTTCAAAATTTACCGGCCTATGGGATCGAGGTCGACATTTCAATCCCCATTTTTTAAGTTTTCACTACATGTATATACATGTATAAATAAAGAAAATCAATGACTCCCTGGAGCAGGGCCAATTTTGACCATAGGACTTTTAATTGAACAAACTTGGTAGAAATCCACTAGAAGATGTTTCATGCCAAATATCTAAGCTCTGACTCTTTTAGATTTTCACAAAAGATTTTTTTTTAGATTTTACTATATACATATAAGGAAAATAAATGACCCCTAGGGCCGGGTCAATTTTGACCCTAAGGCATTTATTTGAACAAACTTGGTAGACATCCACTAGAAGATATTTCATGCCAAATATGTTATCTATAATGCAAAAGGATTGACAGAACAAGATTTTTTATGTTTTTACTATATACATATAAGGAAAATCAAAGACCCCCTGGGGTGGGGTCAATCTAAACCCAGGGCTTTAATTCGAGCAAACTTGGTAGACATCCACTAGAACATGTTTCATGCCAAATACCTTAGCTCTACCTCTTTTGCATTTTCACAAGAAGAATTTTTAAGTTTTTACTATTTAAATGCAAGGAAAATCTATGACCCCTGGGGTGGGGCCAATTTTCACTCTAGGGCTTTTATTTGAACAAACTTGGTAGACAACCACTAGAAGATGTTTCATGCCAAATATCTAAGCTCTAGCTCTCTTACAAGGTTTTTAAAGATTTTTGTTAAAAAAATCAAAAAATCTTTCAGTTGCCATGGCAACAAGAGTTCTTTATTGAATTCATTTCTTCGAACAACTTGGTAGAGCTTAATGCAAGAAATATCCATGGAAAGTTTCAACAAGTTTGGCCATGTGGTTTAAGAGGAGGTTTTTTAAGGTTGATGCACGGACGATGGACGGTGGACAATGGACCATCACAAAAGCTCACCTTGAGGACATTGTCCTCAGGTGACCTAAGAAATACCTTCTGATTCAAATTATAGCATTTTGATTGTAATATAACACCACCAAACAATTTTGATTAAAATATAATATAAACCTAATATACTATTGTATATCTTTTCATTGCAATTTCAAATATCAACAGTAACAATAAAACTATTTTACAAAATGTTGTAATTCATTTATGTACAAATGTAAATGATACACGCATGAAAATGTTTGAAGTTAATAATATATGATGTAAAAATGATATGAAAATGTAAACAATACAAAACAATATAACATCAAGTATCATAGTCATCGTCTATTTTTCTCTTTAGAGGGTTAATATTTTGTAAAAGTGTCTGTCCGCCTGGGGCTGGTACCATGGTAACCTGTTGATTGGTGCCCATTATTTGTGTCTGTACCAAGCTACCACCAGAACTTACTTGACCTTGCATTAACCCTTGACCTAAAAACAGAGCACAAATAAATTAATAATTTCAGTTTCTTTAAGTGTGATTTCTTTTATATATTTCACCAGGTAGGGGCAATGATAATGTGGATGAAGACAACAAATATCAGTGAATGAGTTCAACAAGTGCCTTATATGATATATGCATGTAAACATGTACTATATTTAATGCATGAGTAGGTACCTAGGCAGAACTTAAAACCATTTTGATCGAATACCAAGTGCTTTATCACTTGAAACTCTCCAATTCTAGTGGGATGGATTTAAATTACAAGTATCAAAATATATGAAATTAAAAACATGTACCATACAATATGACATAAGAAACATGTACCATACAATATGACATTAGAAACATGTACCATACAATAAAAAATAAAGAACATGAACCATACAATATGACATTAGGAACATGTACCATACAATATGAAATTAGAAACATGTACCATACAATCATATTAGTTTGATAAGGATCATTTCATCCATTCATACGAAACTGTTGAGTTTTATTTTCTATTGCAACAGGAGCCAGATTACATAAAATGAGCTAATAATAACAAAAGTTACATAACAAATTAAAGTAAATCTGAGTAACACTTTCAAAATTCAACACCAATGATGAAGCCATACATAAGACTACAGACACTGAGCATCCAAATTGTCAGTGCACCCTGACCTTTAATTTTGATGACAGTGAATAAAAAACTATAATCTCAGTACAAACCTTGTTGAACTCGTACTATAGGCTTCACTTGTGATGGTCTGTTAATTACTGTAAGAGGTTGAGTTGGCGTACCTATCTGGATCTTGCCTGTAAATTAACAATCTCAAATGTTAAGTTAGAGATATAAACATTTCTAAAAATATTCTTGCTTAATTTGTAAGAATTCTTTTTAATATTTGTAAGAATTCTTTTTAATATTTGTAAGAATTTTTTTTAAATACAATCATATCTCATTCTACTAATGCCATGTGGCATGAGACAGTTATCAAGTGGTCTTTATGTACAACATATGAGCCGCGTCATGACAAAACAAAGTATATTTTTTTGCGACCAGCAGGGTCCAGAAGCTTTTCATCTCGCATCTGATCAGGGTCCATGCGTTGTTATCAGTTTTCCACTTGTAAAATGGTTTGGTACGAACAGTATGGTCCCGAAACAGCTGCGTGACGCAAGGGTGTCTGGATACTGCTGGTCGCAAACGCATTATGATGGTTTTTCGTGACGCGGCTCATATGATTTCTGTTTTATGAAACTCATGTTTTCAAGTTCATTGCAGTGCTAGTTACATGCGTACAAATATGTTTGTTAAAAACAAAATAGGTTGAAAAAAAAAATGTTCCCTTCAGTAGTTTCGGAAAAACAAACTTGCATGCAACAGCACTCCCTATTCTATAACGAATTATCAAACTTGTAATTTAATCCATTTATTACTTTTAAAAACCT